AAAAAAAAAAACTAAGAATTGTGCATTTTTGATCTACTGACTGTGAGTTATAAAAGTGAAATTAGAAATGCTAAATTGCATGCAATAAACAGAATAAATATCAAAATAAACTAACGGTAGTGCGCTTGGTGACTGACCCCACCACCCACCCTCTATTTCGCGTCATTGCTTTAAAATGACGCAGGCGTGAGATTTTTAACCGAGTAAAGGATTATTGCCGATTTTATTTATCGTAGAGGTATGTACATATGTACGTATTTGCTTATATGGATCACAGTTACGTTTAATTTTAAGGTTATTTAAAAAATGCAAATAAAAAAATGTGTTTTTGTTTTGTTTTTTATTCTGCGCCGATTATAAATTGTTCCGTTCTGCTGAAAGGATAAATAAAAAATCTTGTGTTTTCAAAGGCTTCTTAAAGTACAAATAAATTTAAAACCTGAAGCAATGCATTCATGAATGTTTTTTTTCGTATTTTATAATTTAAAAGGACATGCCGAGATTTAGTGCTTTAGGTTTTGAATATCAGAATATTAATTTACTAAATTTACAAATCTACATACACTAGGCGACAAATGAAAGTGTTCACCTTATTCTAATACAATAGGTACAATTCATAATTCAGTTCAAAAACGCAAAAGAAAGTATATTGAAAATGGGCTGTGATAGGGCGTTTTTGAATCGGCAGCTGAGATAGGGCGTTCTTCAAACAAATTCTGAGATAGGGCGTTCTTCAAGCAAATTCTGAGATAGGGTGTTTTTCAATAAAATTCTGAAATAGGGCATTGTTAAAAAATTTTCTGAGATAGGGCGTTTTCCAACTGCCTGCCGAGATATGTCGATCTTCCACTCAGCCAACGACATGTAAATCAAAATTTCACATTTCATATAAAGTTCATAAAATGTTCATAAAATTTTTCAAATCTTAGTCCATTCAATTTTAGTCAAATGAAGTTCAATTTGATTTTTGAGATTTTTTTGGTGACGGATTTTTGCATTTTTCCATATAAGCATGCATTTCTTATAAAATAAAATGCCAGAGGCCGTTAGCTACGAAATTTCGAAAAATCAACGCCAGTTTTGCAGTTGTGGGGCATGGCACCTCCCACCTTTCCAACTTAAAAGAGCAAAGACTAAAATGACTAGAAATGACCTGCGCTCTCTTCTCCGACTAAAGAAACAAATCTTTAATTTCCCTGCCAAAATACCTGCGGCCTCCGGTCCACGAACGCGCTAATGATCATCACCCTCAATCAACAGTATTCCCTTTTCTCTTTCCGCGGTATCTATTATGTATTGATTTTTTAAACTATTTTCATGAGACTTATGTACTTGAGGCTTTTAGGAGTCCGCGAACTTAGCTACTGAATTCTTAAGTTTTTGTCCTTTCAAGTTGGACATCGCCCTTCATTTACTTTTACCAGTTCCAAACTAACCGACAGTAATCGGAACCCAGCCCGTTGTTTACTACATACTGTTTTTAAATATCTATGTAAATTATGTACGTATAGATAAATTTCAGCTTTGCAACTTATTTTACGAAAGTGCCTAATCAGATGAGCTTCAGATAAAAACCTGGTTTCCGTGTTCGTAAGTTTTATAAAATTGCTTACATACATATGTACATGTAGGTACATTAATGTGCGTCCTGTTTCCAGACATTTTTCTTTTCGGCAAAGCAAGACCCCCTAATAGGTTCGTGCCTCAATAACCCCAATGTTACATACAGTGAGCGTCAGTCAAAATCGTACCGCAAATTTTTTTCATACTTTGAATAATTTAAATTTTAATAATTTTTAATAAAAATACAGTTCATACCACAACAAAGTCACTAAAACTCAAAGTTTCTGTCTTTGTAACAGTTAAGAAAAAATTTAAAATTTTCATCAAAATATCACACTTTTTATTCAGAACTTTTATAATAAAGTTTTATATCCCATTCAATTTTCATACAATAAAGTGCAAGTTTGAAGTCGCTACAATATACCGTTGATTTTACAGATTTTATTTTGTCAAATTTTCTTCCATATAAAAATAGAATTTTTACATGGGCCATTATAAAATTAAATGAGCTATAAAACAGCATATCCAAAAAAATTCTGAATAAAAGGTGAGAAATTTTATTGACAATTAGACGATTTTTTTGAAAATAGTTTGCAGAGCACATTAGGTCCATTCAATATCAAAAAATTAGTACGAATTGTTACTAGTACTTGCAAGTTTTTACTGGAAATGCATTCAATAACCCAAAATATTTGCAAGGGAGAGCGAATTCGAGAGCGTAACAACCCGAGAGAGCTGCATATTCTTGCAAGTAAAAATTTTACTAGCAGGAATTTGCAGGAGTCAAAAAGTAAGGTTATGTTACAAATTCAAATGTAAGCAAACTGTTTAAGAGGATGATTTGATGAAACATAATTAGTGAAATGAAAATATGGATGAAAAATTTCAATCTATTGTATATTTTTTTATTTTTATGACGATGGAAACTATTCCCAATTCAAAAGAAAATTGCGCGCGAAAACTTACTGTCAAAATGGCTGAAATTGCAAACTTTTACTAGTTTTGCGTTCAATAACTTTTTCTGAAAATTTTCTCCTGCTTTCAATTTTACTCTTAATTTTTCTTTTACGCTTTCGCGGCAATTACTTACTGGAAAAGTTATTTGATGAACCTATTTTTATGACGAAATGATCCTAACGAAGGCGAGCCTTGCATTATGGGTCAAAGTGGAAAAATAAGGCGCATCTTAATGTGCATATGTATGTATGTATTTACACACAAAGCCATATGCACATACTATTTCTGAACTTGAATTACTTAAACAGGCTTCACACTGTACCCCTAAGTTGCCTTTTAAACATTCGCATACACACGCACTCACTCGCACATCTTTCTCAGCTGCAAAATAATTTTGTCCCAGTTTCAGTATTCAAGGCCACAGCGAACAGCGTTTGCTACAAATTTTCACAAAATTGGGTTCTTAGAAATACCAAAATTTATTTAACACCTTAATTTGTTCGCCTGCTAAGTCGCTGTGCTGCGTGGCGCGCTATTCTACCTGTCGGCTGTCGGTTGTTTGCCCATTTCAAACGCGCCAGCCAACCCAGCCATACACAAGTACATAAAAACACACGTTTGTATGTATCTAGAATAGCCTGGAGTTAAGCCCGGTTGCGTGCAATGCGCATATTTTCCACCTCTGTTTCGTCTCATATTCGCCCTCTTGTAAATACATATGTATGGGCACAGATATTCTACTACATTCTACCACTCCAACGCCAACGCTTTGGCGGAAATAGCTTGTTGCTTCTGCGTCGCTACCTTCTCTTCCCTGGCCACAGCAAACATCGCAACACTGTAATGCATTTGTATGTATGCGGTTGTGTCCATGTGCAAAGTTACTTTTGACTGTCTGCTTTGCTTTACGGCTTTTCTGTGACAGCTGCAACCCACATGCATACATACATACATACAAACCCATAAAAAAGCCATTGTCAATCCTCCCCAATGGCGATGCATTCAAGCCGCTGCTGTCTGTCGACTGGCCATTAAAAAGTGTGGCATCCACAGCAGCAGCCGACGATAAAATAAAATGCACACAGATGCAATTTTCGCCATACACATCCAAGAGGGTTGCCCACTAAGCGTCCGTTTGTGAATTCGTTTCACCCTACGCAGACGCGGTGGAAAAAATTGGAAGTTAGCGAAAGAAACGAATTTTGTTTCGAAAGTAGCAGCGTTTGGCTTACGCTACATATTACTCTGCTTTGAACACTCGCTTGATTGTCGTTCCTAATGTTGACCCAACTATCGCTGTCCTTCGCAGAACTACATGCATGCTCGTACCACCCGCTGGCGTGCATAGCCACAATTTCTGTATGTGTACTTAAGTAGATATATTCGTGCAATATGTATTAACGAACCTTGCGTCCCATAAGTATGTGAGTTTATATGAGCATCTGTGTCCGTATGTAGCGTTGCAGGTCTGACCGTACTCGAGTCCAACAGCTTAAATACCCTCCTTTCCTTTACTTCCTTTACAAACTCATGTGTATGCGTTCACTTGTGTGAACCTCAAACGTGTCCTATTTCTCCACTGTTGCTGTCTTCTAATTGTTTGCCGTTTAGCCAATCATCCCCCCATTCTCCATTTTTTAACCTCTGGCAGCGCGCTTATTCCCTCAAAGCACTCCAATTTCTAACCCAGCCGTTTGCCCTTCATTCCAGCCAATTTCAAACCTCTTTTCCTTCTCTTCCATCATCCATTCGCCGCCTATTGATGTTGGTTGTTGCACTTCTCCGACTCCTCGCTTCTGTGCCTCGTTGGGCCCTACTCTTATTCATGTAGTTGGCACCAACTATCCAAGCAGTGCCTGCCCAAATGCTAACGCTAGCTCGACGTTGACTTTCGTTGTCGCTGTCTGCCTACGCCTCGTCAGCGTCATTCGCATTTCCACCCCATAATTTCTGTTGGTTCGTCTGCTTGCGTGTCTT